CCGTGTCATTCTGAACGCCTTATGCTTTTTATTTGTACTTTTAGATGGTAAATGAGGTGTGCGTATGGAGACATTTATACATAATCTGAATACATGCTTGAACGAAATTGATTTGTTTCTATAATGTTTACTATTGTTAGATGTCCTTATTGTCTACTCTTACGGACTCTGAAAGACACTTTCTAATGTCTGAAAAGTGTTTTATCCCCTTCTAGTGATATAGAGACAAAACCAACGGCTTAAATCTGATCTTTTCAGACTTCAGGTTAGTGTAACTGAATGAAACTGGGTAAAGATGGGAGTTTCGTTGATACACCAACGCGGACAATGAAAGGACACATCTTCCTGAGGATACAGAATTATTTGATTTCTCTTTTTTTCCTCTAGTTTGCCAATAAAAAATGATTAATTCCGAACAATAATGGATATTCAGAAACAGAAGGGGAATAGATTCTCACTCCGTGGAACAATCTTCCTCCTCCCCCTCCAAGATCCCTGAAATATTAACTACGGGAACTGCATTTTGTTTTCAAACAGTTTAGGAAGGTCAGGTATGATTGTTCGTCTCTGTATGGGTCTCTGTTCAGAGGCAAAGTTTTCATGCGGGGGATGCCTTGCTTCAGGCCCAAATGACTGAGGATAACAAAATATTGACGTTGTTCAGTGAAATTAGAACAATCCGGGATCTGGCGCTGACAAGTTTCTAGTGGTTTATTATTATTTTTTGGAGTTGGGAGGAGGATGTTTAAAAATAAGGCGCTCATCTGAATTCCGGGCAGACAGAAGCAGAGGTCCGGAAAGGAAAAATTGCCGGGAAGGCAGACAGACAGGCAGGCAGGAATTGTCTGATGAGTTTCGAACCAGAAAGTTTCAGAAAGATCCATCCCCGCCGACCTGGTAACTGAAAAGTTGAAATATTTATTATCTATCAGTCGGTAGAGAGGACAGACACCGGGTACGAAACAACCAGATCCTTTGTTTGACTATATTGCTCAGCTGTAGAAACCCCTATAGAAACCCCTCCCCGCACTCCAGTACACACACTGGCTATTGTAACTATTACAGCTATCTGTCTTTGGGAGCTCTGTTGTTTCTCCTAACTGGAGTGTAAGGGGGAGGGAATCTTCGGACTTCTACTCATCAAGAGTCCAAATGCAGGATCACCTGAAAAACTGAGCAGGTGTTACAGAATGAGAAGAGATCTAGAGAAAAATAGAACCGAGCTGAAGTACAGAACAAGACACAAAGGTACAGAAACAAACAGAAAAGGCCAACAATGGAGTTCTGGCAAAGCATGATTAATAAAATATCTCCTGAAGTCGAAAGTGTTCTCCAGCAAAAACTACACGTTATTTACGAGGTACAGGGATAACAAGGGCTAACCTCTACAGATTCTTCAGAACGACCCCTCTTTGTGGCTCATAATTTCTTTGTCTATTTGTTTGTTTATCTATTTATTTATTTGTTTGTTTTCACGATGATTTGCTTGGTATTGAATTGACGATAAGACCCTAAGAATGGCCGCTTGAAATAAAACGTCGGTGGGCATTCGATAATTGTTAAACTACAATAATACAAGTATGATTATTAATAATAACTCATGCATATTAACACTCAACAGAAAGCAACCAGAGCTAAGAGAAACCCTAATAAAAAAGACCAGATCTTCTCCAACAACACATCTGACTTTTCCACTCGTTCATTTATTCCTAAACACGCCTGCTTGGCTCAGATTTAAACAAGGTTTTGCTCTGTATATTGCATTGTTGCTGGTTTTTTTTAAGAATCTCATTCTTGCATTACTCCACTTACTGAAGCATAAACAAATAATCAGAAAAGAAAGTAGAACGTGAAGAGAAGCCAAACTTTTCTGTCGCATACCCACAGGCAGGGTTCCTATCCCGCTAATGTTGGATAAACACATTGATGATGGCTATTAAGGAGAGGAGAGGGTGAACCAGGAGAGGGTGAAAATGCAAGAGGGAACGAAAAGGTGACAGTGAATGAAAGCGACTGAATGAGGGGAGGGGGCGACTCTGGCTTTGCTTAGTTCATTCAGAGACAGCTTCAGGCATCTATAGGTTTGTTTAACGAGCAACAAATTAATTTGCACGATTCTGGGAGACCCCATATGGCACTTAATTAATCCTTTCAGGAGGATCTATACCCGGCGATGAGCCGCCTGCTGCTTGCCATGGGGTCAGTTTTACTTATTCGCCAGTCTGTCACAGAAAGAAAGAAAGAAAGAAAGAAAGAAAGAAAGAAAGAAAGAAAGAAAGAAAGAAAGAAAAATTTTCAAAATGAAATGGCTGCTGGTGGGTTCCCTCCTTTTCTTGTATCCTCCCCTGCCCCCCGATGAGCTGAGCGCACATTGACTCGTCTCGTTTTGTTTGCCGGCTCTTTGAGCCCACGCAGCGGAGTCGGGCTCGCACCCCGCAGCTTTTTCTCCCACTCCTCTCCTCATCCCATGCCCTCTCACTGCTGGGGCGCGCTCAATATGCAGATGAGCAGGCTCGGCCCGCCCCTCCCCTCCGGCCCCTCAGCCACTCAGGCGGGGTTTGGGTTCGGCTCTGGTTCTCCAGGCATCATAATGGGCCGGGTCCTAGAGGAGGCGTCAGTCTCGGCCCCTCCTCTGCTCGCGGCTGCTGCCTGACGCCTCTCCGAGC